TGCTACCATTCAAAAACCTCACAATAAATTGGTTTTATTTTATTTACATCTCTATATTATCAGTTTCATCCTATCTTTTTATCTCCAATATCGTATCACTTTCACACTAACTCACGCCCTCAATAATCCAGTACCTCAACAACAATTTCCGGAAACATCATCAGTATACCACGAAGTGAGAATTTTTGAACTGTTTGATAAGAAGACGGATTTAGTGATTTTAATGATTTTTTGGATAATGGATTCACACTTCTGTTATCGAAATAACTCAAAATCAGTTGGTCAATAACTCAGTTGATATAAGTGCAAAATCATGAATTTTCAAATGAATGACAGGTTGGAAACTTAAGAAATCATTGTTCTTAACAAGTTTTTCGATCTCTACAATTATATCCTTTAAACATGTCATTTGCCATCATTTATTTCCCTCTCAGCAATATTTGATTCTTTTTAACTAACAGTTGAACCAAAACTTCCGTATCGGACATTCTAAATTCAGCAACTTCAAGAATTTAAACAACGGTCGCTCTAATCAAACACAATTTGAGCCAAACACCTTATACTCATATTTCAAAACAAACAACAAGACAATATTGGAAGTGTTGCAACGGTATTTCGTCATTTTCAGTTGATTGTTCGCGAAGGTTCGCGCTCCCCGTCGGGGAGCGAAACTGGACGGGAGTGGATTCCCGAGAAAAAGTCGGGGAGCGGATCCCTCGTGGAGGGTCCCCGCGGGGAGAAATTTGGACGGAGAGGGTCCCCGCGAAAAAGTCGGGAAGCAAATTGCGCGCGGGGGGGGAACTCTCCCCGCGTTCCCCATCGGGGTCCCTGACGAGGACCCCGTTTTCCGACGAACACTATTCACAAGAGAGGAGAATACGGTTCGAGAGAATACGGTGAAAGGAGAACATGGTTTTAGTTCAAAGTTGTTTAACAAGAAAAACTGACTGACGATTTCGTTAAGAAGAGAGGCTTACATTATTACTGAAGGTCAGTCTTCTCTTCAAATGGTATTTATACTCAAGAGAGGACATGTACTAAAGAGAATATAGCACTCAGACCAATAATTTTCCTTCAGAAAATTCGTATAAATTTTTGCACATCTGATTTCGAGGAGGAAGTTTGAGTTTGTTGGGTAAACTATCAAAAGTGCTTGGAAACTGTTGAAGTTAAGAGAATAAGAATGTTACACTGAATGTCATCGTGAAGTGCATCTTTTTTCTCATCGAATGATTTTAAGAAACGTGAACGGATATACAATGGCACAGGTTAAAAACAATTCGGAATTGCAACAGCACTGCATTCATCATTTTTAATCGTCCAACATTCGAAATTTACTTTCTGAGAAATATCAGCACCACTCACAACAACGCTCTTCTTCGTTATCATTCACATTCACTCAAGATGTCAGAAAATCAATGACATTTTATTACTTCTTACCACTTGTGAAAGCAACTTCATCAGCAGCACATAACATTCAAAAATTCAACGAATTACATGAGACCATTGCAGTGAACTATACGCTGTGTAGCAGATTCCAGAAATTTGTCACTGGTTTTACTGAATAATGAAACTAATTGTTGAGTTCAAGTTGCATTCTAAGTACGTACATTTTTGCGCTGATTTCACTTTCATCAACTTAGTATACATCGGAAACAGTCGGATTCATGATTACTAAAAAACATCACAGAGGTAATATCGGGTGCAAACAAACAAACTTTCAGTGAAATATCTCAACATTTTCAGCGTGACTTGAAGATGCTAATGGCGAGAAAATATAGCTGATAGTGAAAATACAGAATTTCCCGGGAAAAAATTATCATGAAAACTGTAAGCAGTCCATTCGATTTAAGATCAGAAAACAAATCCAGATTTGCGTGTTTAATTTGAGGGAATTCAGAAAAGCATGACATTTCTTAAAACAACAAAAAAAATGAATGAATCGAACTAAGCGATGGTTAAAGGAAACTGAATAAGGAATCGGAGATTAACTAAACAAACGTCTGACTGAGTAAGATAACCAGCCATACAAATAATGAAGTTATTCACGCAGCTACATGTGAGTTTTAAGAATTGAATTATTCACTGAGCGAATAGCATTTAAATGGTGAGCCTGCCTATAAGACATCGGCAAGCAAAGCATAATGTTCCATATGTGAACGATGCGGCTATATTTCTTCACATCAGTGTTTCTATCGATCAGCATATCTCCTAGTATTCTGTTAGCTTATAATAATATACATACGATTATCAAATCTGAATGGCATTTGGTTTCACTCTCAACAGCAACAACAACAATAACAAGCCTTTCGTAACTAGCAAACCCCACTTGCTTCTCAGCATTGAAAACACATAACTAAACTTATGAATGTGCTCATTATTGAAGCATTATCAAATAGCGCATGAATGTGGGAATGCAACGAGCACTAACCACACCACTGCACCAGATGGCAATAACGTCCCAGCTGGTGATATGAAGTCTTTAGAGAGGACCATTCGGTTGGTACTTTCACTCAGATGACAGATATCATTCGACTGCAGTGCTGCACCTATTGTTGGTGATTGTGTCGTAAAAGTCAATGCACCAGTTGCATTTCCTCCAATACCTCGCATAGCTATCCTGTTGGTAGTCGTGCCAAATGGATAATGAAAAGCATTACTGTCGATATGTGATATTAGCAATTTTTTCATGAGTTATTTTTAGCCGTGTTTCAATTATGGAAATGAAGCAAGCAAGTCGGTTAGAGCACTTCAGCAATAGAACGCAACAGAATTGAAACGGGTTCATGAGATGTTAAGCATTAGTTGATTGTGAGAGTGTGATAGTTTAGTAATGTTATAGATCAGAGGATTATAATCGCGATAAGAATTACTTCATGAGAGAAAAAAAACAACGTTTATGGGAAACGCATCAAAATCAGAAGAGAGCTAGAATCGAATGGGTACATTTTATTAGAAAGTGCAGGTTTTGAAGTAGAAAAGACAGATTGTACACGCAAAATTGTTTTCCGTCGGCAAGTAACCCACCTTCATATTCTGCGTGTTCAAGAAACAACCCATAAGAAAACAGTTAGATTTTTTCAACTTCGTCATAAAAATGTTGCAATAAATGAAAATTTTCATGTGAAACGACGCATTTCAGATAAGCAATCGTTTACAGTTACCATTTGCAAAAAAATGAACAAAGAATTTCTGAGCACGAACATGCTCTAATTCATACATCCTTGCTCACAACAACAAATAACCACCTTATCAAATCAAATTTTTTTAAATGAAACAAAAACTGATGGAAATCGAGCTAGTGAAATGCTACTTTCTCTAATGTTTCATTCCACCTAATATTACTGAAGAAATGACGAAATCGTTGACGAACTATAATAAAAAACACTATTTGACGTAGAATTAACATTTGAATAACATTTGATTGCGGTGTTCAAATGGCCAAAACTGACGATCTTCGTCCTACTGGTATGATCAACAATTCAATAGCAAACATTGTCAGTTGTTTACTTCGTCTTATCAGAGTGATCAATCTAACTAGTTTTTTATATGGAATGATTAATGCCATAATAACATATGTGTCTTCCAGGGTATGGCAGCAAATTTACTGATACTTCACAAACTTTGAACGTTGGCATGATGCCGCAAAAAATACACCACATTTATCTACGCTTTTTGAACTTTGTGAATTTGACTGTAAAATGTGCTCATTCTTAAATTCAGCACTACAATCGATATGAATCAGCTGATGTCTATTAATTAATAAATCTCACTTGATCAGCTTATTTCCCTGAATTTACGTCTAGTCCTGAACGTGAAAGCATAACACTGCGCAGAAAACCACACTTCGAAACTAAACGCTCCACAACGCTTATATCAAATTCTATGCCCTATTCGGAAACCTAATCTGAAGTGACTAACGTCAAGTCTAAAAAAGTTCAAGCTAACGTTTCCAGCTAACTGCTCAAGCAAACTTCAGCAACAAGGTTGAATTCAACGAAAGCAATCAAAAATCTTATAATATCAATAAAATAAGCCTCACTCTGTATGCGCTTACACAAATCCTCCTGCTACACCTAAACATTCAATATATTAAAGCTGAGCTATAAGCTAACTCTCACTTAGCTAACAATCAGTCTGCCTTCTCCACTCTCATCTCAATATCTCCAATTCCGATCCTCCTCCAAACTCTCCTCAACTCGCACTATTTTCCGTATGCACAATTCAATACAACCATCCAATACAATCATCTCTATAATCATTTGACAGCGCACCATCGACGACTAGTGCTCTGATGAACGTAAAACAACAACACCATCACTCAATGTCTGCTCGCCGTTTTTTCCATTCGATACTTTTGAAAAATCAAATGATTTTCATGTGCTACATAAATAAACCTTTACATTCACCTGGTTTCGAGCGTGTTTTAATGAGTCATCGGATTTGGAACGGGTTTTTATGTTGCGTTAACTGTTAGTACTTTATTGTGCATTTTCAAACATGAACGATTGTTGCATGGTGCAGTTACTGGACGCATGCTAATGTTCCTCATTTTCCAACATTGATGCTAATCTTCCATCAGTGCTCCACTGACCAAGTCGAGTAGAGGTGCCAATGGTCGTTTTGTTGATATCGAATCACGTCTCGTTCGATATCATTTTTATGTCGTTCATAACGTTTCAAAAACTGCACAGATTCTTAACGGTGCCGCAATTAGCGGTTTAGAAACATAAGCGGAAATTTGTGACTTCGAAATAATAATGACTAAAAATTGAAATATTTTCAGAGGTGAACAAATAATGTCTATGGCGAGCTCAAGTCCAGAACAACCTGGTGGAGGTATACAAATGGCCGAAGGCATAATGGGCATAATCCAGCCAGCAATCGAAAAACTCGACACTCAAGTGCATAACACCCGTGCTAGTCAATACGCGCTTAACGCACAAATTCAAGCACTTGCACAATGTTGGTTTGCATACAACGCTCCTTATTTCTGTCACTTCCCTCTGAACTGTCCTCCACATTCGGTACCATTTTAACAGCGCAAGATTATAGAGACAAATACAGTTCAGTTTTATTCGCCCGAATTACGTTTTGTGGCTTATGTTCAGTTCAGATCAACTGTTATAGTTCGGCTTGCAATGAGCTGAGTTTTGCAGTTTACTCCGAATTCAGGCAGTAAACATTCGAGTTTCGAACTTCACCATATTCTTTTCTCTGCTACTGACTTGAAGTCGTCAGCCATTCCTTCCTGTCCAATGGGAGCGCACAGTTACTTTGAGTGAATCACCTGTGGAATCTGATCGCAAAATAGAATCTGTGTCATGTCTGATGAACGCTGAACTGATCGATCAGGTGAGAAAGGAGTGAGTTGAAGTCACATGATGCGAAATCAGAACTGAACTGCCAGTACAATTTGTTATTGTTATTCACGTAATGCGTCAAAAGTTTGCTCAAGTGAAAATGACAGGTATCCGACGAATTTTATGAGTGACTGACTGATTACAGATTTGAAAGAAATCAGCAGTGAGCAATCAACACCATACGATTTGGATGTGTACGTGCGTAAGCTGGATGATTCAAAGAGACGGGTGAATGCAGTGGCAACTGTCCTGCAAGACGTTCACGATCGAATGAGTCGTCTTCAGAGGAATATTGCTCGTGAGACGTATCATCACAAACAAATCATCACACAACCACCTCCATTACCACCAAACAGATAATATCCTAGTCATTCCATTCCACACTTGGCAACTTCAAAGGGTCCATATGCAACAATCCACCATGCTCTTCAAATCACTGCTTCCATTCACATTTAATCTCGTCATGAACACAAATGTTGGATCAACAATGACAGCAGTTACTGTCCGCCGTCATTGCCATTTATATCGATATTCCAATTAGTTCACATAATGAGTTTCACTTAACAGTTCACGATGTTGTTTTCCTGAATATGATCAATCCTTATTATTATTTACTGTTGTAAAGGACCTGCATTACCTGATGCCGTACCACACGACGAACTTTATGCTTTATCTTATTCTTTTAGTTTACCGTTTGCATTCTTTTCTTAGATTTGTTCTTCATAAACTTCTTGTATACAAATTAAGAATTATTTTGTTGCGTTTATCGCCCTCAGATCCTTCTTTACCATATGTATATAACTTTCTGGAATTTGTTAAAGAAGATGCGAAGAGATAAAAACTCTACTAATTCATTTGTTTTCTTATTTGCTGTGAAATGAGAGTGCATTAGAAGAAAATATACAGTTTAGTCGTTTGTTTATTATGATTGCATTCGCTCGATCAGCCAGAATATTTTATCACAATCAGCATTTTATCGTAATTACAAAAACAACATTAGCAATGGAAAACGAGCCTTCGATATCCTTCACGGAAAAGATAAATTATATTTACACAACTGCTCGCATATATTAATGAAAATTGAGGTGCTCTTGTAACTCAAAAAAAAATGTTCTGTATCACTAAATTAACACCGGAAAGATCTTTTACTTAGCATTATTGATAAGATCGAAACCGTTCGGGGAGTAGAATGAAACTGAGTGGTTTAATGATATGAAAAAAAGAGTCCAACGAACGGATTCAAATATAAACAACGATTGTGTTCGCTGCAAGGTCGTAAATTGCACGGTTGTAATTGAATGCATATGCAGCAGCACTCAACGGGAACAACAGATTTATTAATAAATTCTTCATTAACGATCGTAACAACGAACTGAAAAAAATAGTTCGTATCATCTGAGTTTTACATTGTTTTGTTCATGAAATGTATTGGTTTCTTCCCACAAGAGATGTGAATTATGTGGACGAATTATTGTGGCGATTGCATGTACTAATGTTTCACATGATTTTAACAAACGCATTCTGTAGTCATTTTGACTGCGTCGTAGATAGTCAAATATTCATGTTAGCCACCATATAATTGTTAAATTAAATACATGGTAGTAAAATGAATTTAAAAATATTATATCACTCCGAGATAAAGCATTCATTCTGTGTGTAACATGATTTTGCTTAATCATCTGACCTAAGTTTATCATTTCTAAGGGTTGAAGTTTTGTATCTTTT